ATGAAGCAAAGGAATATTACTTTTATATGCCTCTCACATTGTTTTGCAGGTCAAGAAGAGAACTGCTCATGGAAATTCTTACCATGGCTCTCATGTAATGCAATATGGTGATCTTAAGCTGGGCTTGGAAAATCTCTTCATGTATATCGGAACCAATCCTGCAAACGGTAACTACACTTTTGTGGACGATAACTTTTGTGGAAAAGTCATTGTTGACAATTCTCTTGGCATAGTGCTAATAATGGACTAGATCAAAATGGCTCAATTAAATTCTAGTGTTTCTTGTATTAGTGAAGTTTCTAGAAAAAAATATATCAAACGACGCAACGCACCTTGGGTCGCTATGGAAACAACCTTCTTGTATAATTACAAGGGTAAGGCAGACCCCCCAGACCCCAACTTGTTGGGAATATACTGGGTATGTTGATGTTGATGATGTTGATGTGTTTTTCAAAAGCCGTTAACCAGCATGATGCTGATCTTGTACATTTTTTGGGACAAGGTACGTGGGACAGTCGTCTCCAAAAATAATTAACTTTGTGCTCCGATCACTATGTGTGTACGCTTTTGTTCGCATATTATTACTATTATTATTTATTAAAGTTTCAGAAGTTAATCCTTGCTTCAATGGTGAAATATGTTTTTGATTTATCCTTGTCCTTATCAATTCTCTGCTTTGGCAGTTCCGTAAGGCTCCTGAAGGCTCTGTTAGGAAATCCGAGGCGCAAAAGCAGCTTGTTGAGGCCATGGCCCACCGAACGCATATTGATAACAGTATGGAACTTATCGGGAAGCTTCTTTTTGGAATTACGAAAGGTCCCCAAGTCCTGAAGAAAGTTCGACCAGCCGGAGACCCTCTCGTCGACGACTGGAATTGCCTGAAATCACTGGTAAGCATGCCATGATTCACCTCAGAGGCTCAGACTCTAAACATAGTTTAAATCTCCTCTCCAAATGGTTTTAGGATAAATGCAAATCGGGTTTGGCAAGGTTATCTTTGGGAATTAAATTGCAAAAAGTTACCAAAAGAAGATTATCCTTCTATGAATCTACCAAGGACTCAAGTAACACTGATAACTCTTCCTTAGTAATCTGAATAAAGATTTCATACACATAAAGCTATTAAAAAAAAGATCAAATTAACAAAACACGTAAACATGTGTGCAACTTTGTCCTTAAATGTGATGCAGGTAAGAACATTCGAGAGGCATTGTGGGTCCCTATCCCAATACGGAATGAAACACACGCGCTCGGTTACAAACATTTGCAATGCAGGCGTCAATGAAGAACATATTGCTGAGGTATCAGCACAAGCTTGCGCCAGTTTTCCTTCCAACTCTTGGAGCTCTCTACAAAGGGGTTTTAGCGCTTGATGATTGTTTTCGGGACTCACTTCTGTTTTTCTTTGCTCGACTTGGAAGAACATAAATGGCGGTATGATGGTTTGTAAAATATGATATAATGGTATTCCTGTGTGTTTGTATTGTATTTGTACTTTTGGAAAAAAACTGCAACACTACGGTATTAATCTATATGTTTTTTAGTGGTGACAACTTATTCAGTTTTATGAAAACGCATTTGAATGAGTACGCGCTTTAACTTTGCTACCAAACAAAGCTTTATTCTTGTAATTTTTTTTGTTTTTTTCGTTTTTGTCTTTTTTCCCCCTTTTGGAGTCTAATGCAATCGTCAAGACTGCAGATTTCACGGGTTAAACAAATTTATAAACTTGTAAACGCAAAATAATTTAATGCTCAAGACCGCAAATTATGGGAATAGACAAATTTATTAACTTTGAAACACACCAAAAGAATACAATTAAAAAACATAAATTTGTGGGAGGCAACTAAAACACAAGTTTGTGAATTATCATATTTTGTTTGTGATTTATTTTTAGATTATAATATTTCTAACTTGAAAGTATGTACATTTATTTAAAAATTGTGGTTATTTAGGGAGTGTTTGTTTATGGATTGTTTTTATTTGTTTTGTTTTTTAACTCATATTAATTTTGGAAAAAAAAGGTGTTCTGGTTACTTGTCAATATATATATATATATTAAAGTAATATTTAAATAAAATAATTAAAGTTGATTTGATGTGAAATAGAAGAAAAGTGATTGAATGTGATGGTTAATTAAAATTATGTGAGTGGATGAATAGTGAATTAAATTTGATGTGATATGTAAGAATGATTAATTGCTATTATTCAATTATATTGATAATATTGAGGATAGTGGTGTTGAGTTAAAATTAGTTAAATTTGAGTTTTAATTGGTTTTTTTAGTTAATTGATAAACAATTACCTCCTTAGTCGTTTGGTCTACCTAAAATCGGTCTTACTTAAAAAATGCGATCAGATTAGGGATGCAAACGAGTCGAGCCTCGAGCATCATTTCAAGAGGCTTGTAAGCTCGACAAGCCGCACGACTTTTTATTTACATAAATACCTCATATAGTTTAATTATGAATATAAGAATACCAAGACCAAAATTGTCTATTTAGATTAAAAACAATCTATTGCATATTTAAAATTTTATTGTTAGAGCATCAAGTCGATCTCTAGCCATGTCGAACATCGAGTCGAAGTCGAACATTCTTATTTTTTTTTTTCACGAGTCGAGTCGAGAATCATTTTACATGGCTCGTCGAGCTCGAACATTGAAGAAAAAAGTTTAATTTACGTCGACAAGGTCCATGCTGGACTTTGCAGCCCTAGACAAGACAAAAAAATTGAAAATAAGTCGAACTTTAAGTAGGGGCAGAGCCACCCTGGGTGGGCTCCAGCCCCATGTCCCAAGAATATTTTTTTTCTAACCTTTTTCTTTTTTTTTAAAAAAATAAAAATAAAATTACATAGCCCCAATAGCCCCATGTCAATTTTTATGTAGTCCCATTTAATTTTGGGTTGAATGTCTCAAGATTCATGTCGAAATTTTTTATCTAACAATAGTGGAAAAGTGATGATCGTACTGAGAGGAAAAAAGATAATCTTGTCAAATGTGACCTTATTGGATTTTTATCAATTGAGTTTATAATGTGGCTTGAGTTGACTTGGCAAATATCAAATGAGCTGGATAATTAAGCTTGACATATACTTCTCCAGCGGACTATTTAAATATATTCGTCTCATTTCATAATCCGTTATCCATTTTCACTCATTCATTCATTTATTTTTGTTGATTTCACCTCCAATAATTAATTCGCGTCATTTCCTAGACAAAGAAAGATCTCGTACAGAGTTGATTGCAAACATGTTCAACTCTATTTGTTTGATCGACAAGTTCAATTATATATTGGAGTTTGGCTTGTCTAAATATATAAGCGACTCGAGATATAGTTTTCTCAATTCAAGCTGACATATGGTAACAGATAATTTGGTTCTAATCATGACCAAAACCGGTTACGGGTCGAAACCGCCGATACTGAGCCGAAAGTTGGAGGACCCTGAAGCGGCGTGAACATATGTACATGCCGATTTATTGAACTGTCGGTTGTTGGTCGTTCGGTCCATTAAAAATAACAAAAAATAATATATATTTTTTTAAAAAAGGTCGAACCTCGAGTTCCGATTTCAGTTCGGAACCGAAACTGCCTGTTCAAAATGTATAACTATAAAGTATTGTACATGAACCGAACTTGTCAAAACTACGGGCCGGTTCAAGACACATGGTCAACGGGCCGGTTTATGTCGATTCGGGCCGAACCGACAGGCTGGGTCAGCCCATGACCATGTCTACTAAGTTCCAATAATAGCTACAATAATATGCAACCCCAAGTTAAAAAAATTTCTGGCTACGCCCCCGACTTTAAGGCCGGTCTGCCATACTCTTTGAACATATTTGTATAGTTTTAAATTGAAACAACATAATGTAAAAAACAACATATACATAACTAATAATTCATATCATAAAGAATAATTTTTATTAATGATAATTAATGACATAAGTATTTATTTTTGTTA